TGGGGCAGAGAGTTCCACTACTGAACAGCTCTCACAGTCTGGAAGTTCTTCCTCCTGTTCAGGTGGAATCTCCTCTCTTGTAGTTTGAAGCTATTGTTCCGCGTCCTAGTCTCCAAGGAAGCAGAAAACAAGGTTGCTCCCTCCTCCCTGTGGCTTCCTCTCACATATTTATACATGGCTATCATATCTCCTCTCAGCCTTCTCTTCTTCAGGCTAAACATGCCCAGCTCCTTAAGCCGCTCCTCATAGGGCTTGTTCTCCATGTACATGTTCTATACAAAGCATTTTCTATATATGAAATTGACGTGGGTTGGTTCTATCCCTCTAGAATTGAACAAAATGCTTCAGGTGTGCACTTCAGTTCCATTTGCTGCCGTTCTCATGATCACTGATCAAGTAACAGCACACAACAAATAAAGTACATATGTTGAAGCAATTTTGTTGATTTGGTGGTTTTAAGGTACATGGATATCTAAAATTGCATTCTAATATTTTCATGAACAATACAGCAGGTAAGACTCAATCCCACAGATTTGAGTAGGTATGACCATACGTCTCCTGGGCACTCTTCACATTCTTTACAGCCAAGCTATTAAATTAAGTAATCTATTTCTTTCTTGAGAAAAAAAAAACACAAGATTGTAAAATGTTGTGATGTATGGAAAACAGATCCATGAATTTATGCTGCAGCAGCTAGTACAAGCTTAATGATTATAACAAATCTGTATAGGTCTGTTGTACTGTGCGTGACCTCTAAAGGTGTTGGGTGCTGTAAAGATGTATCTAATGCTGAGAAATAGTCAGAATACCACAGTCATTTTTCTTACAAGCTCAACACATTCCATTTGTATTGTACATTATTATTACATATCATTCTTTATGCCAGGTAAAGACATAAATCCAACATTTGACACAAAACAGTAATGAGAACTGGAGAATCCAGATAATACATTTCCGCAATACATGGAACAATGATGTGATAAGAATGAGCTGGAATTGGGATTTGCTGAATTTATCCAAAATTCAATGGACTCTACAGCACAAATCTGTACTATTTTCACAACATTCAATGATCAGCACTGAACAATAATGGCATATATTCATGGATTAAAATGTCCACTAACAAGCTGTCTATATAATGCAATTCAGAGCATATCATTTTCTATGATCAGCATAATAATAATAATAATAATAATAATAGTACCTCAAAATTGAACTGCAAAGACTCTGGCATAAACCACTACAGGTGGTCCCAGTGGTCATTGGCGCACTGGGTGCGCCAATGATTTCAGCCGGCATTTGGAAACAATAAACATTGACAAAATCACGATCTGTCAACTGCAAAAGGCCACCTTACTTGGATCTGCGCGCATCATTCGACAATACATCACACAGTCCTAGATGCTTGGGAAGTGTTTGACTTGTGATTTTGTGATACGAAATCCAGCATATATATCTCGTTTGCTGTGACATATTGAGGTTCAGCCAAAATGCACAAGCCTAGGGAGCAATCTTGTTTTCTGAGTCTAAGATATGGAGCAATGGGTTCAAACTAGGCCTGGGTAACAACGGAAAAATTTGTTTCTAAAATTGATTCATTTTTTGGGGGGGTTTGCATTTCGATATTTAAAAGAATTCCGAAATTTTTCTTTTAAAAAGTTCGATATTTACGAAATTTCGTAAATGTTAAAAAAAAATACAAAACATTAACAAAACAAATACAAAACAATAACGAATCGATTCGTTAATGGCGGACGCGACCGCGCAATACGCTAAAAAACCTCCAAATGGGACAGGGGGAACTTCTGAAGCTTCCCTCTCCCTCTGTTGTTGACTGTTGGTGTGATATTATATTTTTTTTCACTAATTAAACAAAAAACAACTATAAAACTTGCCCCAGACATGCGGAAATAATAACGAAACGACCTCAAACCGATAACGAAACGAATACATGACGAATCCAAAGCATTTACAAAACGAATTTAAAAATTCGTTTCGTTTTTAAGTTGCTCCAGAATGGTTCGTTATCGCTTCGTTATAAAAAATAACGAATTTTTAACGAATTACGAATTAACAAAATGAAACCGCCCAGCCCTAGTTCAAACTGAAGGAAAATAGATTCCACTTAAACATTTGAAATAACTTCCTGGTGGTAAGAGCCATTTAACAGTAGAATATGGTGCCTGAGAGTGTGGTGTAGTCTCCTTCTTTGCAGATCATTAAACAGAGACTGGATAGCTATCTGTAAGCAATGCTTTGGTTGCTATTCCTGCACAACAGAATAGGTTTGGACTGGATGATCCCTGTGGTTTCTTCCAGCTATATTATTCTATTTTCTGTAATGCTCTGTTCGATTTCATTTAAATTCCCGGTATTATTTATTCATTTATTTGCGGCATTTATATGTCACCCTTCTGACCCCAAAGGGGACTCAGAGAGGCTTACAAGTTTTATATATATACTAGCTGTCCCCTGCCACATGTTGCTGTGCCCCAGTCTGTTTATCTGGAAAATAAAGTAATGAGAAAGTGTTGGTTTCTATGTAATTTCTTTATGCTTGTGGGCAGGCATGTAGCCGGGGGGGGGGGGGAGGGGCTTCAGCCCCCCCCCCCGAAATTCTCATGGTGGTCCGCGAAAAGGCCTTACTGGTGCATTATTTAAACTGTTATGTTTATTAATATCATGATCTGATCACCATACTCAATATATCCCATATGCATGGGGGTATTGGGGTAACGATACAAAAGGTTTGCTAGGGTAGACCCTCTTTCACTCAGACTCAGCCCCCCCCCCGAATCAAACTCAGTTCCCCCCCCCACCCTCCCGAATCAAAATCCTGGCTACGGGCCTGTTGTGGGTAAACAGTATTTCTTGCTGCTTCTTTGTCAGTGTTGATGTGGAGATTGTCTGGTTTGCCTAATCAGGAACATGCAACATATCATTGTCCTTCTTTAGGGGTCCCTTTCAAATCTATGATACTATATCTCTCTGTGTGTGAATCATATCTATCTATCTATCTATCTATCTATCTATCTATCTATATGGCTGGATGGCTCTTTGTCAGAAGGACTTTGATTCCGTTTTCTTGCCCTGATGAAGGGAGTTGGATTGGATGGCCTTAAGTATTTTCTGTTGGTCATGGGGGTTCTGTGTGGGAAGTTTGCCCCGATTCTGTCTTTCGTGGGGTTCAGAATGCTCTTTGATTGTAGGTGAACTGTGAATCCCAGTGACTACAACTCTCAAATGTCAAGGCCTATTTTCCCCAAACTCCATCTGTGTTCATATTTGGGCGTATTGAGTGCTTGTGCCAAGTTTGGTCCAGATCCATCATTGTTTGAGTTCACAGTGCTCTCTGGATGTAGGTGAACTACAACTCCCAAACTCAAGGTCAATGCCCACCAAACCCTTCCAGTATTTTCTGTTGGTCATGGGAGTCCTGTGTGCCAAGTTTGGTTCAATTCCATCATTGGTGTTCAGAATGCTCTTTGATTGTAGGTGAACTATAAATCCCAGCAACTACAACTCCCAAATGTCAAGGTCTATTTCCTCCAAACTCCATCTGTGTTCATATTTGGGCATATGGAATATTCGTGCCAAGTTTGGTCCAGATCCATCATTGTTTGAGTCCACAGTGCTCTCTGGATGTGGGTGAACTATAATTCCCAAACTCAAGGTCAATGTCCACCAAACCCTTCCAGTTTTTTCTGTTGGTCATGGGAGCCCTGTGTGCTAAGTTTGGCCCAATTCCATCATTGGTGGAGTTCAGAATGCTCTTTGATTGTAGGTAAACTATAAATCCCAGCAACGACAATTCCCAAATGACAAAATCAATTTTTTTGAGTGGAGGACATAAATTGGACTGTTAGGTGTCTCGTGTCCAAATTTGCTGTCAATTCTCCCAGTGGTTTTTGAGTTCTGATGGTAGCACGAACTAACATTACATTTTTATTTATATAGATTATTAGTAATGTTACATGTAACATAAAATATATAATTATAATATCATATTATTATTAATATTATACTGTATGATGATGCAGTTTTGAAAATGAAAAACGAAAATGCAAAGATACAGAATGGGGGATGCCTGGCTCGAGAGCAGTACGTGTGAAAAAGATCTTGGAGTCCTCGTGGACAAGTTAAACATGAGCCAACAATGTGATGTGGCGGCAAATTTAGCCAATGGGATTTTGGCCTGCATCAATAGGAGCATAGTGTCTAGATCTAGGGAAGTCATGCTACCCCTCTATTCTGCTTTGGTTAGACCACACCTGGAATATTGTGTCCAATTCTGGGCACCACAATTCAAGAGAGATATTGACAAGCTGGAATGTGTCCAGAGGAGGGACACTAAAATGATCAAGGGTCTGGAGAACAAGCCCTGTGAGGAGCGGCTTAAAGGAGCTGGGCATGTTTAGCCTGAAGAAGGGAAGGCTGAGAGGAAGTATGATAGCCATGTATAAATATGTGAGAGGAAGCCACAGGGAGGAGGGAGCAAGCTTTTTCTGCTTCCATGGAGACTAGGACGCGGAACAATGGCTTCAACTACAAGAAAGGAGATTCCATCTGAACACGATGGAAGAACTTCCTGACTGTGAGAGCTGTTCAGCAGTGGAACTCTCTGCCCCGGAGTGTGGTGGAGGCTCCTTCTTTGGAAGCTTTTAAACAGAGGCTGGATGGCCATCTGTCATGGGTGCTTTGAATGCAATATTCCTGCTTCTTGGCAGGGGGTTGGACTGGATGGCCCATGAGGTCTCTTCCAACTCTTTGATTCTATGATTATCTTTTTTTTAAAAAAAAAAAATAAGTCTGGCTGGATGAGACTCCAAATAGGAGTCTTTTCAGAAATGAGTGTGAAATAATTGGTAGTGGTCACCTTTATTACATCTTCTGTCATCCTACAGAACACAGAGAAATAACATAAATGTCTAATGAATTGCCTTTCTCAAAAGAAACACAAATAATGATAAAAGCAATACCTTTTTAAACCAGAGTCTTACTTTGGATTGTTGCAGTGTCTCTCTTGGTATGTAACTCCACCCCCACAAGTCCTTGAACAATCCGTCCACTTGGACCACGTGGACCACTGGCCATTAATAGGTTTAGGACCATAGTCTCCATATCGTACACATTGACCTCGTCGGCACCACTGTAGGAAAGAATTGTAAAAACAAAAAAAAAAACAACCAACCAATAATAATGCCGTATTAGTGCCAGCCAAGATGGATAACAAGATCTTTAAAATAAAACAGATATAAGAAGTAAGACAAAACCAGAAATGGTAGAAAGGAAACTAAGGCTTAGATAGTAGGGCTGTCCAACCACGGAAAAATTTGTTTCTAAACTCGATTCGTTTTTAGGGTTTTTTTTTTTTTGCATTTCGTTATTTAAAAGAATTCCGAAATTTTCCTTAAAAAAAGTTCGATATTTACGAAATTTCATAAATTACAAAACAATTACGAAACAATTACGAAACAATTACGAATCGATTCGTTAATGGCGGACGCGACCACGCAATACGCTAAAAAACCTCCAAATGGGACAGGGGGAACTTCTGAAGCTTCCCTCTCCCTCTGTTGTTGACTGTTGGTGTGATATTTATAATTTTTTTTCACTGATTAAACACACAACAACTATAAAACTTGCCCCAGACATGCGGAAATAATAACAAAACAATTACAAAACGATAACGAAACGAATACAAAACGACTCCGAAGCAATTACGAAACCAATTTAAAAATTCGTTTCGTTTTTTAGATGCTCCTGAATGGTTCGTTATCGCTTCGTTATTTAAAAAAAATAACGAATTTTTAAAGAATTACGAAATTACGAAACGAAACCGCCCAGCCCTATTAGATAGGTAAGAAAGTAAATCATAAAGGGGATTCAAATGATATATAAAGTTTAAGAAAGGTGGGAAAAGGAAATTGGAGCCAGTAGTTTGTTTACTTTTTAAAAATTTTAGTTTGCTTCATTAATTTCTGCAAATCTACATCAACTTTTTAAATTATCTTGTTTTAACTTATCATATTGGTCAATATGCTTTTAGTCTGTTTAGATTAGTCTGTTTTAAATTGTCCTAGACTGGATCTAGGTAAAGGTAAAGGTTTCCCCCTGACATTAAGTCCAGTCGTGTCCAACTGGGGTGTGGTGCTCATCTCCATTTCTAAGCCAAAGAGCCAGCGTTGTCCATAGACACCTCCAAGGTCATGTGGCTGGCATGACTGCATAAAAAGTGCCAATAAGAACATGCTGGCAATTCGATCGGGAGGACAACAAAAAGCTCCTCCGCATGGAATATGGAGCGACAGCACCATCCTGTGGCCAGAGTCGAGCACAGCCTCCAGATCCTGGAGATGAAAATGATGGGGAAAGCCTATACCTTTGTTTATGTTTTGCATGTAATTGTTCATTGTATAACGGCACTGAATGGTTGTCGTATATGTGTTCTGGAATCCATCCTGAGTCCCCTCAAGGAAGTAGAGTTGAATATAAATAAAGTATGTTATCATTATTAATTATTATTATTAATTATTATTAATTATTAAAGGACAATTGATAAAAAGTGTTCCTGCCATACATCAAGGGAACCACTGACCGCATAGGGAAGCTGATGAGGAAACACAACATACAAACAATCTACAAACCCACCAAGAAAATCCAACAAATGCTACGTTCAGCAAAGGACAAGAGGGATCCTCTCACCTCTGCAGGAGTCTACAGTATACCATGCAGCTGTGGACAAGTCTACATAGGGACCACCAAACGCAGCATTGCCCAAACACGAATCAAGGAACATGAAAGGCACTGCAGACTACTTCAACCAGAGAAGTCAGCCATAGCAGAGCACCTGATGAACCAACCTGGACACAGCATTTTATTTGAGAACACAGAAATGCTGGACCACTCTCAAAACCACCATGTCAGACTACACAGAGAATTCAAAAATAATTTCAACAGAAATTTCAACAGAAAGGAAGAGACCATGAAAATGAACAAAATCTGGCTACCAGTATTAAAAAAGTCAAAAATTACAACAGCAAAACAACAGAGGGCAAACAAACAAGCACATAAAATAACTCTCAACAAGAGATTCCCCCCAGGCGCTTCCAGACCATTGAATGCAAATCAAGGTGATCAGCTGAAACATTCCCAGCTAGCCCCAGCAGACAGGGGTCCTTTGTCTCACCCTGGTCATTCCACAGATATCCTCAGCAAAACAGCAGAGAGGAAACAACCAGGCACATCTTAACACCTCTCAACAAAACATTTTCCCAGGCTCAGCCAGGCCTTCAAATGCTAATGAAGGTGGTCATTTGAAACATTCACACCTAGCTCCAGCAGAGAAGAGCTCTTTGCCCCACCCCAGCCATTCCACAGATATATAAACCCATTGCCCTATTTCCAACAGACCTCACTACCTCTGAGGATGCTTGCCATAGATGCAGGCGAAACGTCAGGAGAAATGCCTCTAGAACATGGCCCTATAGCCCAAAAAACCCACAAGAACCTAGTGATTCCAGCCATGAAAGCCTTCGACAATACAAAGTAAGTTATTATTATTAATTATTATTTTTAATTATTATTAATTATTAAAGGACAATTGATAATGTTTGACTATGGCCTGGAAGTGGATTTGGATAAGTTAAATGGAGTACTCAATACTATATGGCTAGTTAAATAGCCACCAGACTGGTAATAGCTCAATGGAATGTAAGTATACTGTTTTAATTTTTTATGTCTTAATGTTTATGTTTTAACTGTTATAATTGCTGTTTTGTATTTTGTGATATGGCATCAAATTGTTGCCAATTGGAAGCCGCCCTGAGTCCCCCTGGGGGTTGAGAAGGGTGGGGTAAAAATGTTCGAAATAAATACATTATTATTATGACTATCATCATCATCATCATCATCATCATCATCATCATCATCATCATCATACTTCAGACCAAAAAAACTCAGATAGATCTTATATTTATCCAAAAAGAAATATTGACGCACTAGAAAACATGAAACTTACCATGTTTATCCCACAAGGGGTTCCTTCTGCAGCTGGCATAAATTTTGTCTCACATCGATGGCCTATTTTATGGCACCATAATGATTTACATATATCCTGGAATTTAAAAAATATATACATATAAATTATTCAGCCTTTGGTTCTGGATTAAGCCAACATTTTAATTCTCAGCATCTTTGATACTAAAAATATTGAGACCAGGAAGGTAAGGAGAGGTTCAGCGCTTACTTATTTTAACTAAGTGAGAAGTTACTTTATTGGAGAAGTTATGTATTTTTCTCCAGTGCTTTACAGCCTTGGGGAAGAAACCTAGAGAACAGAGCATCTTGCCTTCCTTCTTTGGGACTTTCCAAGGCTGCGACTTGCTGTCAAAATGGGCACAAAGGTGTTAGATGTTGGGGTTCAGCTTGCATGTGAACCTGAACCTGATTCTCTGATTGTATTTCCTGATGCAACTGAACAGGCCACTGAACATGTATTTTTCCCTGATGGTTTTGAAACTGTTGATTCTGAGGTCAGTGGCTTGGAAAGTGAAACTACACATCCTGATGAGGATGATTCAGAATCAAGCGGTGATAGCTCTCCAGAGGAGCTAGCACTTGCCCTTTTTAATGAGGATAGAAAAGGACAGATTTGGAAAAACAGGAGTGAATCGCAGAGTCTGCGAAGGTCAAGCAGATAAAGGGAAAAGGAGGCACAGGCTTCAAAGCCTGGAGGCGTGTCCTGAAACAGTTTCTTTAGTTTTAAGTGCCGCTCCCCGGGCTGTCTCGTTATATCAAGCATCGTTTAGACTGAGGCATTACCTTGGCAGATTTCCCGTTTCCCATGGCCTGCATTCCCAAAGGCTTTTAGTTTTCAAGTACGGTTAGTGAAATTCTAACAGATTCCAGGTTTTTATAGTGTTGGCTTTTGGAATTTTGATCTAGTTCATAGATATTCCTGACTGCTGAATTTTACTGTGGTTTTTTGACTTTGTATTTTCCTCTATTTTGTAACCATTTTTCATCAATAAAAAAGGATTGTTTTATTCCCACAGTCAAGTGTGGTGGATTAATATCTTATGGTCTCGTTTCATGATCTGGGTTGCAACATTAAAGAATGAATTCTTATTTCATCTAATCATCTTCAGCTTATCATCTCATGAGACACTACTGCAAGTATCAGGCTGAAATTGAATTACTCTTTTTTATTGTGACAGCTGTAGCTAAAATTCTATTAGGTAGAACAAGAACACAACTCTGCCTTTGATATAAGCAACAAGAAGGTGGAAAGGGAAGGTGCATTTTTTTTCTTAGAAATATTGAGATAGAATACAGGCAGTCTCCTAATTACAAACATCCAACTTAGAAATGACTCATAGTTAAGGACAAGGGTGAGACAGCAGTAAGTAAGATAAATCTACTAGGCCTGGGTAACAACGGAAAATTTTGTTTCTAAAATCGATTCGTTTTTTGGGGGTTTTTGCGTTTCAATATTTAAAAGAATTCCGAAATTTTTCTTTTAAAAAGTTCGATATTTACGAAATTTCGTAAATGTTAAAAAAATTACGAAACATTAACGAAAAAATACGAAACAATAACGAATCGATTCGTTAATGGCGGACGCGACCGCGAAATACGCTAAAAAACCTCCAAATGGGACAGGGGGAACTTCTTAAGCTTCCCTCTCCCTCTGTTGTTGACTGTTGGTGTGATATTATAATTTTTTTTCACTAATTAAACAAAAAACAACTATAAAACTTGCCCCAGACATGCGGAAATAATAACGAAATGACCTCAAACCGATAACGAAATGAATACATAACGAATCCGAAGCATTTACGAAACGAATTTAAAAATTTGTTTCGTTTTTAAGTTGCTCCAGAATGGTTCGTTATCGCTTCGTTATAAAAAAATAACGAATTTTTAACGAATTACGAATTAATGAAACGAAACCGCCCAGTCCTAAAATCTACCCATCAGAAGGGAAATTCATGGAGAAAGGTGTCTCAGCTGAAGTTTCATTACATTTGTCCTTTGTTTAATCTCTGTTTTGTGTATTTTAATATGCCTTTTATAGAAATACGTTTAATATGTATCTTTTATAGAAATACATTGCATTTGTGGTATTTTTTACAATGTTTATATGTTTTAATTATTCTGTAACCTGCCTCGAGCCAGGAGGAGAGGCAAGTAAGAAATATTATTATTATTATTATTATTATTATTATTATTATTATTATTATTATTACTATCATTATTATTATTCATTACCAATCCTTGTTTTCACATGGCTATGTGGAAACATTACCAAGCCTTGTTTCTACAAGGCTATGTGTAGGCTACAAGAGCTTTAAGATCAGCTGGGGAGGCCCTGCTCTCTGCCCCAACCTCTTCACAAGTGTGGTTGGTTGGAACCAACAGACAGGGCCTTCTCAGTGGTGGCTGTGGAACTTTCTCCCTGGTGACATCAGGAAGGCCCCATCACTCCTGGTTTTTAGGGGGGGAAAAAAACTTGAGACCTGTCTCTTCTCACAGGCATTTGGTGAATAGGAAACTATAGAATGAGATTCTTAACAGCTTGAATAACGGACTGTGGATTTTGGAAAACAATTTGAACATGAGATTATGACTCAGCATTTTATATGGGTTTTATTCTGTTTAATTGGTTGATATGTGTTTTAATTGCTTATATGTTTAGATTGCTTATATTTTGATGAGATGTGTTTATTGTTTACCTATGTGGCATTGAATTTTGCCCGATTTGTAAGTCACCTTGAGTCCCCTCGGGGATAGAGAAAGGTGGGATAGAAATGAAGTAAGTAAGTAAATACTCCAATACTCCAGAGGACAGGAGCAGAATTCGAAACGATCTTGACAGATTAGAGAGATGGGCCAAAACTAACAAAATGAAGTTCAACAGTGACAAATGCAAGATACTCCACTTTGGCAGGAAAAACGAAATGCAAAGATACAAAATGGGGGACAATGCCTGGCTTGAGAGCAGTACGTGTGTAAAAGATCTTGGATTCCTCATGGACAACAAGTTAAACATGAGCCAACAATGTGATGTGGCAGCAAAAAAAGCCAATGGGATTTTGGCCTGCATCAAGAGGAGCCTAGTGTCTAGATCTAAGGAAGTAATGCTACCCCTCTATTTCGTTTTGGTTAGACCACACCTGGAATATTGTGTCCAATTCTGGGCACCACAATTCAAGAGAGATATTGACAAGCTGGAATATGTCCAGAGGAGGGCGACTAAACTGAGCAAGGGTCTGGAGAACAAGTCCTATGAAGAGTGGCTTAAGGAGCTGGGCATGTTTAGCCTGAAGAAGAGAAGGCTGAGAGGAGATATGATAGCCATGTATAAATATGTGAGAGGAAGCCACAGGGAGGAGGGAGCAAGCTTGTTTTCTGCTTCCCTGGAGACTAGAACGCAATGGAACAATGGCTTCGAACTACAAGAAAGGAGATTCCATCTGAACATGAGGAAGAACTTCCTGACTGTGAGAGCCATTCAGCAGTGGAACTCTCTGCCCCGGAGTGTGGTGGAGGCTCCTTCTTTGGAAACTTTTAAACAGAGGCTGGATGGCCATCTGTCAGGGGTGATTTGAATGCAATATTCCTGCTTCTTGGCCGGGGGTTGGACTGGATGGCCCATGAGGTCTCTTCCAACTCTTTGATTCTATGATTCTATGACTGTTGGTATTAGAATTGTCCACTTGGGGGAAACCAAGGAGCAGTTCCCTGTATTTTCCATTGGCACAATAGTAATAGTAAATTGTTAGTAACAAATAATAACTTGGGGATTGCTTGTATATGGCAATGGAGATAGGACCTGAATCTTAAGATCGGAATCATATACAGGTGTACTCATAGTTAAGTACTAGGCTTGGGCGGTTTCGTTCGTTAATTTTGTAATTCGTTATTAATTCGTATTTAAATTAGCTTACGATCCAATATTGAGCCATGCAGGAATAGTGTGAGGAGTAAATTAGATTCGAAACAATTTTTTCAATTTCTTTCGTAATTGTTTCGAAATTATTTTGTCATTATTTCGTAATTATTTTCGCATGTCTGGTGCAAGTTTTATAGTTGTTGTTTGTTTTATCACACCAACAGTCAACAACAGAGGGAGAGGGAAGCTTCAGAAGTTCCCCCTGTCCCATTTGGAGGTTTTCTTAGCATATTGCGCAATCGCGTCCGCCATTAACGAATCGATTCGTAATATTACGAAATTTTGTAAATTTTGAAATTTTTAAAAGGTAAATTTCGGAATTCTTTAAAAAAACGAAACGTGATGGACCCCTAAAAACGAAACGAGTTTAGAAACAAATTTTTTCGTTGTTACCCAGGCCTATTAAGTACCATTGTCACTTAATCCAATGAGGATTATTCCTTGAAACCAGATGTCAGGCGGCACACTACAGCCACATTTGTCTTAAACTGAAGTTTGAACCTGCTCTCACCTTCCTAACTCAGTTCCTGAATTTATTTCAATTACATTCCACATCCTGGCAGCACAATCTTTTCCTGCAGCCATGCTCGACCACCTTGACTTCCATCCAAACCCACACCTTCAAAGTAAGCATTGGCTTTGCCAAGCAATTTACAGTTTAGAAATAGAGCAAAGACCCTGAAGCCCATTGGAACCCCTCCATTCATTCATAAACTTCTCATCTGTAGCACACTGTTGTTCCCTGCTGCAAGTCCGGACACTGCCTGCAAGTTATCAGAAAGGAGGGTAGTGAGAAAAGAAGTACCTTCACAAAACTCAGGTTGCAGAGTTTTGCTTTTGCTCCAAACTGCCATTTGCATTGTGTATCAGCATCATAGATCTGTCCTGGGAGTTTATCGGGATATTTGTATTGTCCGGCCTGTTTTGGTTCATCTATCAGACAAGCTGCTTGAGAAGTACTGTTAAGGAAGAAAATTACCTATTTAATCACTGTGCTGTTATTTATTATTATCATTATTATTATTAATATTATTATTATTATTATTATTATTATTATTATTATTATTATTATTATTTAAAACACTTATATTCTGCCCTTCTCACCCCGAAGGGGACTCGGAGCAGAGCACAACAGATACATGGCAAACATTCAATGCCTGGATACAATACATAAACATTAAAAACATATGAACCATCAAGATTATTAAGACCATCTGGAGAGGCCCTGCTCTTGGTCCCACCGGCCTCGCAAGCGCGTCTGGTGGGGACGAGGGACAGGGCCTTCTCGGTGGTGGCCCCTCGGCTCTGGAACTCTCTCCCACTGGAGATCAGAACCGCCCCTTCTATCCTGACGTTTAGGAAACAGGTGAAGACTTGGCTATGGAGACAAGCATTCGACGAGTGAGTCAACACCCTGAGATATGGAAGGAGGATGATGAACAACTATTTTAGTGTGACGGCTGACCATTGTAGATATTGATTGTACCTTACCGACCGCATCTCGGCCTATGAACCCACCAGGACTTTGAGATCTTCCGGGGAGCCCCTGCTCTCGATCCCGCCAGCTTCACAAGCATGGTTGGCGAGGACGAGAGATAGGGCTTTCTCGGTGGTGGCTCCCCGGCTGTGGAACGCCCTTCCCACAGACATTAGATTAGCACCATCTCTAATGGTATTCCGCAAAAAAGTAAAGACCTGGTTATTTCAGCAGGCATTTGAATAATTAGTGCAATGACTGGTAATGACATAGGAATGGAACAATGGATGACGAATCTGGATCGTGTTTTTAGTGATGAGATGCTAGTGATTGGTTATTATAGTAATTTGTGTACTAACTGTGTATTGATTAGGTTGTTAACTGTTTTTATATTGGTGTATTGAACTTTGCTGTTTCCTGTGTGTTGTGAACCGCTGTGAGTCGCCTCCGGGCTGAGAATAGCGGTATAGAAGTAAAGTAAATAAATAAATAAATAAATAAATAATTGCTGTTTTAATGTTTTACTGTAATATGAATTATGATGTTTTATTGATTGTCTGTGATATCACCTCAAGAGAGGTGAGAAAGCCGGTATATAAAACTTGTAAATAAATAAATAAATTTATCTAAATATTAAAATACACCATTTAAAATAGGACAATTTAAAACCGTCCTAGCCATCCGCATCAAATCCAATTGGCCCTGTCATCTTTCCCATTGTTGCTTCATTGCCCTGTCCTGAAAGCTTGGTCCCACAGCCAAGTTTTTACCATCCTTCTAAAGGAAAGGAGTGAGGGGGGTGACCTGATCTCACAAGGAAGGGAGTTCTATGGGTGGGGAGCAATCACCGAGAAGGCCCTGTCCCTCGTCCCCACCAATCGCGCCTGTGACAATGGCGGGACGGAAAGCAGGGCCTCCCCAGAGGATCTTAATCTCCGCGATGGTACATAGAGGGAGATGCGTTTAGACAGATAATTTGGGCCGGGGCCGTTTAGGGCTTTATAGGCCAAAGCCAGCACTTTGAATTGTGCCCGGTAGCAAACTGGCAGCCAGTGGAGCTGGCGTAACATGGGAGTTGTATGCTCCCTGTATGCCGCCCCAGTTATTAACCTGGCTGCCTCTTGTTGGACTATTTGAAGCTTCTGAACAGTTTTCAAAGGCAACCCCATGTAGAGTGCATTACAGTAGTCTATTCCAGATGTAACAAGAGCATGGACTACCGTGGCCAAGTCTGACTTCCCAAGGTACGAGCGCAGCTGGCGCACAAGTTTTAATTGTGCGAATGCTCCCCTGGCCACCGCTGCAACCTGGGATTCCAGGCTCAGTGATGAATCCAGGAGAACTCCCAAGCTGCGAACCTGTGCCTTCAAGGGGAGTGTGACCCCGTCCAGCACAGGTTGCGACCCTATACCCTGTTCGGCCTTGCGACTGACCAGGATATATAATCATGCAGAATCACAAAATGACCTGTCTAGGTCAATTTTATTTGTTAATCCCCAGTCAACAGGTGGGGTCAAGTATAATGGGAGAAACAAATTCCATGCACAACTCTACTTGAGATACATTTTGACTGTATAATTTCTCAGCTACTCTCCCCTTGCCTCCTGCAGTAACTCATTTGCCTGCCAATCCCTGAAATAACGAGACCACACACCAGTATTTGGGTTTAAATATGGGCAACTTTTATTAATTGTTACCTATTAAACTTTGACTGGATCTAAACCTATGGATCCTGAACTTGGTGGCAAAGCCAAGGTAGCGTCCCTGCCCGGCCTACCCCTCGGCTAGTTAGGGTGAAACACCCCAGTCCCCAGGGAACCTAATCCGGGCAACCTCTAAGGGAAATGTGTCGGAGAAGTCCCTCTCAGGGTACCCGAGACACTACTCTCCCCATTCCTAGGCCATTAGAATTCCCCTCACCTCATCAAATTGAACCTTGGGTGAGTGTTTTAGTTAATGACCTTCACCCCTGAAGGGGTGCCTTGGGCATACACCAAATTTTAGCTTTTCTTAACTGTTTACCGTGATCACCTATTTAATGACACACTTTCCCAATTTTCCCCGTAACAGTATAGAGTAGGCAAAAAAACCCCTCCTAGAACATAAGAGGGGGGAAAATTCTACCTGGCCCCTTAATGGCAACCCTAATATACTGTTTAATGGGAGAGAGTGGAGGGTCAACACTTGACTGCAGAATGAAGAAGGGGGCAGGCCAGTGCTGAGGGCCCAGCTCCACCCCCTTCAAATAGTTCCAACCAGAACTCAATTGTTCTTTCCTTGGGGGAGGAGGCAAAGGTCTCTTCTATCCCGGCTGCGCCAGGGTGGAAAAGCTTCTTTGAGGAGCAATTCTGAGGAATAAACTGATTCTAGTTTCATCTGAACTGTCTGTTTTGTGCCTGACTGCACCTCATTTTTTCTCTCAGAATCAAGACAGAGGTTGGGTAGAAATGGCTGATGTGACTATGTGGGGGTAATAAGGAAACATTGCAAGTATCTGTGGTCAAATGGACCAAACAGAGAACCTGACCCTGCCTGAGGCACTGGGACACCTAAGGCTGGGTTGGTTTATTTGGGAGTTATAAAAACTTAAGTGTGGTACCTTTAAGTAGCTTAAAGGAGGGTCTACTTTAAAAAATGGGGACAATCACATTGGTTGTGCACAATCCATTTGGGTAGCAGGTGCTATGGTCACAATATTTATCAATCGTCCATGATCTATTATTGTCAACTCTTACATCTTTAGAATGCTACTAATGTATATGCATGTCAATAAACAAAAACAAAAAATAATAGCATGGTTTCAAAATGTTAAGACATTTAATATCAGTTAGACCTACCTGAGAAATTTGTTAAGATACTGTCGACTGCAAACTGACCACGAAAAAACACCATTATTTCCCGTGAGAGTGGGAGACATGATGTTACCTTCAGCTTTCCTGCAGGGATTTCCTTCTCCATCATGAATCATGCCCAAGCTGGAAGGAAAGAAAGAAAGAAAGAAAGAAAGAAGGAAGGAAGGAAGGAAGGAAGGAAGGAAGGAAGGAAGGAAGGAAGGAAGGAAGGGTGGGTTTAAAAATAGTAAAACATGTGAGAACAGACACTTGTATCCTATTATGGTGAATTATTATTAGAACATGCTTCTGTGGGAAAGTATTTGGATACTAAAAGTGGATCAGAAAGCAGTATATTGTCAATCCTAAGGATTTCTATAAACATTTAGCTTAAAAGGAACAAGAAGCAATTAAAAGTGGCCATACTCATTGGTTGCAATTAATTATAAATCACCATATTGCAAAAAAAACCAAACAAGTGGAGTGGAACAAGATTAGTACACAGCAAACAAGGTCACTCTGCTGGCTGTTGTATTGGATCACACATCGGACACTTCCCAAGTGTCTTGGACTTGTGTGACGTTGTTTGTTTTGTTCATTCGTTCAGTTGTTTCCAACTCTTCGTGACCTCATGGGCCAGTCCACGCCAGAGCTCCCTGTCAGCCGTCACCACCCCCAGATCCTTCAAGGTCAATCCAGTCACTTCAAGGATGCCATCCATCCATCTTGCTCTTGTGTGATGTATTGGCGAATAATGCATGCAGATCCCAGTAGGGTGGTCTTTAGCAACTAACAGATGGTAATTTTGTCAGCACCGATTGTGTTTAAGTACAGGCCAAGGTCTTTTAGGCATTGCACCCAGTGTGGGACCACCTTTACTGGCTTGTGCCAGAGTCATCATCATCATCATCAACAACATCAACATCAACATCATCATTATTTGAAACACAACAAGATGAGTTCACAGCAGACACTCTGCTGAATTGGATCACACGTCGGACACTTCCCAAGTGTCTAGGACTGTGTGATGTATCAGCGAATAATGCATGCAGATCCCAGTAAGGTGGCCTTCTGCAGCAGGCAGGTGGTAATTTTTTCAGTGCCGATTGTGTTTAAGTGCAGGCTAAGATCTTTAGGCACTGCTCCCAGTGTGCTGATCACCACTGGGACCACCTTTACTGGCTTGTGCCAGTCTGCAGTTTGATTTTTAAATCCCCATATCGTGTCAATTTTTCTAGTTGTTTCTCTGCAATCCTGCTGTCATATTGCGACATCAACGATCCATACTTTGTTTTTTAACACGATTGTGAGGTCAGGAGTATTGTGCTCCAGAACTCTGTCTTTCTGAATTCGGAAGTCCCAAAGGAGTTTGGAGTGTTCATTCTCTGTAACTTTTTCCAGCTTGTGATCCCATCAGTTCTTTGTCGCAGGCAGATGGTATTTGTGGCACAAGTTCCAATGAATCATCTGAGCAACGATGTTATGCCTCTGCTTGTAGTCTGTTTGTGCGATCTTCTTGCAGTAGCTGAGGATGCACTCTATTGTTTCATCTGCTTCCTAGCAGAGTCTTCATTTGGGATCTGTTGTCAACTTTTCTATTCTGGCTTTGATGGCATTGGTTTGAATGGCTTGTTCTTGGGCAGCCAGAATCAGACCCTCCTTTGTCTACTTTTTCAGAGTTCCATTTGTGAGCCACAGCCATATTTTTTCTTTGTCAACTTGGCTCTCAATTTTTCCCAGGAACTGTCCATGGAGAGCCTTCTTTTGCCAGTTTTCTCTTCTGCTCTGGATTGTGTTTTTACGATATTTCCTCTGTCTTTTGTACTTTAAGCAGTTTACTACCTATTGACTTCCCTCAATGTTGGTTCTTGACTGCCTTTCACATAATCTGCCCATGTATTAATATTATTATTATTATTATTATTATTATTATTATTATTATTATTATTGTACTGGCTTGACCTTGAAGGAGCTGGAGTGGGTGCCGGCCGACAGGGAGCTCTGGCGTGGGCCGGTTCATGAGGTTATGAAGTCGGAAGCGACTGAACGAATGAACTACTACTACTACTACTACTACTACTACTACTACTATTAAAGAAGATAATTCAAGAAACCACTGTGTTGTGCTTCAGCCTGATCTGTGTGAACCTGAGCCTCAATCTCTGTGTGAACCTGATTCTCTGATTGTATTTCCAACTGAGTAAGCCACTGAACATGTATCTCTCCCTGACAGTGTTGAAATTGTTGTTGATGCTGAGGTCAGTGGCAAGGAAAGTGAAACTGAACAGCCGGATGAAAATGTTTTGGAATCCAGCCGTGATAGCTCTCCACCTGGGTTTTTTTAATGAGGACCGAAGGGAACAGATAGCTAGAGACAGGAGTGATTCACAGTTTCTACGAAGGTCAAATAGATTACAGGAGAGACAGGCGCAGGCTTCAAAGTCAAGGGGCGTTTCAAGGAATAGTTTCTTTGGTTTAAGGGGCCTCCTTCCGGGTGTCTCGTTAGATCAAGGAACTTTTTGGACTGTGGCTGTGCCTTGGCAGAATTCCTGTGTTCCATGGCCGGTAATCCCAGAGGCTTCTAGTTTTCAAGTACATGGTTAGTGAGAGGCTAACAGGTTCCTGGTTCTTGTATTGTGGTTTTTGGAATTTTGCTCAAGTTCAGAGATTTTCCTGACTGCTGTGTTTCTATTGTGGCTTTTTGACTTTGCATTTGCCTTTCTTTTGTAACCAATTTTTCATCAATAAAAAAGGAATGTTTTTCCTACAGTCCAGTGTGGTGGATTTAATCTTATGGTCACGTTTCCTGATCTGGGATGCGACACACTGTCTGAATCAGACTATTGCCACATTTGAATGCGATTTCAGATGTCTCATTTTAAAACATTTTAAATTCGCCAGAATTTCATTTTCATGGTCCTCTCCAGTGCCTCATTGATGAATATTCTCCACCATTTCTTTAGGGTGGATCCTGTTTCCTGCAACCATTTTCCAGAGTGTTTGGCCCCAGGGCACTATGGGAGATACAAAGTGGGAGATAGATACCCTACAGGACTGCCACTGTTGTAGCATTAGCAACATGTTAACATTAAAATCATTATTATTGTGAATTGGGTGTTATCTGTAGGGGGAAAAGAAAAAGGTGCCATTGTTTTAGGAATGGAGATCCCTATATCTAAATAAATAAATTATTTATTTATTTATTTATTTATTTACTGTCCTTGTATACCGCCGTTTCTCAGCCTAACTGGCGACTCAACGCGGTTTACAACAAAATATACAGTACACAGTATACAATTAAAACCATAAAAAACATAATACACAATATTACACGTAAATCACAATCCAATACATCTCCTAACTAAAATCATGGTCCAATTGCATCATCCATATTACCAATCCGTAGTCGACACATTCATTGCACCGAATTAACCAAATGCCTGCTTGAACATCCAAGTTTTTAGTCTTCTTCGGAATACCATCAGCGAGGAGGCTGATCTTACCTCCATGGGAAGGGGGCGTTCCAGAGCCGAGGGGCCACCACAGAAAAGGCCCTGTCTCTCGTCCCCGCCAGCCGCACCTGTGAAGCAGGCGGGATAGAGAGCAAGGCCTCCCCAGAAGATCTTAGGGTCCTGGTGGGCTGATAGGCCGAGATACGTTCGGATAGGTAGGTTGGGCCAGAACCGTTTAGGGCTTTAAAGGCCAACGCCAGCACTTTGAATTGAGCCCGGTAGCAAATCGGCAGCCAGTGGAGCTGGTGCAGCAGAGGAGTTGTGTGCTCCCTGCGCTCCGCTCCAGTTAGTATCATGGCTGCCGACCGTTGGACTAATTGGAGCTTCTGAGCCATCTTCAAAGGCAACCCCACGTAGAGAGCGTTGCAGTAGTCTAAACGGGATGTAACCAGAGCGTGGACTACCGTGGCCAAGTCAGACTTCCCAAGGTACGGGCGCAGTTGGCGCACGAAGTTTTAACTGTGCGAATGCTCCCCTGGTCACCGCCGAAACCTGGGGTTCCAGGCTCAGCGATGAGTCCAGGATCACACCCAAACTGCGAACCTGCGTCTTCAGGGGGAGTGCGACCCCATCCAGCACAGGCTGTAACCCTATACCCTGTTCGGCCTTGCTACTGACCAGGAGTACCTCTGTCTTGTCTGGATTCAATTTCAATTTGTTCGCCCCCATCCAGACCATCACAGCGGCCAAGCACCGGTTCAGGACCTCGACAGCCTCCTTAGTAGCAGGTGGAAGAGTGACAGAGTTGAACATCATCTGGCATACAGATGACATCGTACCCCGAAAATCCGGATGATCTCCCAGCGGCTTCATGTAGATGTTAAACAACATGGGAGACAATATTGAACCCTGAGGAACCCCACAAGACAAAGGTTGTGGGGTTGAACAGGAGTCTCCCAGTAACACCTTCTGAGACCGACCCTCGAGGAATGAGCGGAGCCACTGTAAAACAGTTCCTCCAAGACCCATTCCCGCGAGGCGTCCCAGAAGGATACCGTGGTCGACGGTATCGAAGGCCGCTGAGAGGTCCAGCAGCACCAACAGGGACACACTCCCCCTGTCGAGCTCCCGGCGCAGATCATCGACTAAGGCGACCAAAGCTGTCTCGGTACCATGCCCCGGCCTAAAGCCAGACTGTGCCGGGTCCAGATAATCCGTGTCTACCAAGAATGCCTGGAGTTGTGAGGCCACCACACGTTCCAGGACTTTGCCCAAAAAGGGGAGATTGGAAACAGGCCGATAGTTGACGAATTGAGTGGGGTCCAGTGATGGTTTTTCAACAGCGGTTTTATCACAGCTTGCTTTAAGCTGGCTGGAAATATGCCTTCCCGAAGGGAGGCATTAACCACCACCTTCACCCACTCGGCCAATCCCCCTCTGGCCTCCTTCAGAAGCCAGGATGGGCAGGGGTCTAGGATGCATGTGGTAGCTCTCATTCCTCCAAGCACCTTGTCCACATCCTCGGATTGAACCAATTGAAATGAATCCATCAAAACCGGACAAGCAGATGCTCGTGTTACATCCTCAGAGACTGCCGTTAATATGGTATCCAGACCAGAGCGGATCAAAGCGACTTTGTCTGCAAAGAACTGAGCAAAGGCTTCACAGCGAGCTGCCGAGTCATCAGGGCAC